TAAGAGCAAACAAACAATGATGAACAACACAATAAATGAAATTAAAAATTCTCTAGAAAGAATCAATACCAAAATAACTGAGGCAGAAGAACGGATAAGGGACCTGGAAGATAAAATAGTGGAAATAACTACTGCAGAGCAGAATGAAGAAAAAAGAATGAAAAGAACTGAGGACAGTCTCAGAGACCTCTGGGACAACATTAAACACACCAACATTCGAATTATAGGGGCCCCAGAAGAAGAAGAGAGAAAGAAAGGGACTGAAAAAAACTTGAAGAGATTAGAGTTGGAAACTTCCCTAACATGGGAAAGGAAAGAGTCAATCAAGTCCAGGAAGTGCAGAGAGTCCCATACAGGATAAATCCAAGGAGAACCATGCCAAGACATATATTAAGCAAACTATCAAAAATTAAATATGAAGAAAAAATATTAAAAGCAGCAAGGGAAAAACAACAAATAACACACAAGGGAATCCCCATAAGGTTAACAGCTGATCTTTCAGCAGAAACTCTGCAAGCCAGAAGGGAGCGGCAAGACACATTTAAAGTGATGAAAGGGAAAAACCTACAACCAAGGTTACTCTACCCAGCAAGGATCTCATTCAAATTTGACAGAGAAATTAAAACCTTTACAGACAAGCAACAGCTAAGAGAATTCAGCACCACCAAACCAGCTTTACAACAAATGCTAAAGGAATTTCTCTAGGCAGGAAACACAAGAGAAGGAAAAGACCTACAATAACAAATGCAAAACAACTAAGAAAATGGTAATAGGAACATACATATCGATAACTACCTTAAAAGTAAATGGATGAAATGCTCCCACCAAAAGACATAGACTGGCTGAATGATACAAAAACAAAACCCATATATATGCTGTCTACAAGAGACCCACTTCAGACCTAGGAACACATACAGACTGAACACATACCTGCGTTTTTCACATCATTCTTAGTCTCTCAGAATTGTGTGGTATTACTACTTTGGCGCTATATTTTTATTTACTCAACAATTGTACTTGAGTGAATTTAGAATAAGAATTTTAAAATAACATATGAGTTTATATAGTTGTCCCTATTTTTAATATATCACACACCATCAACAAAAATTTAAAAAATGGAAATATTGTTTCAGTGCAAACATTAAGGTACTTATTATGATATGGAAATTATAGTCGCATGGGGGAAAAGGAAGAAAAGGTAAAGAGAAAAAGTAAAAGAACAATCAAGTCGTCCCCTCTGCCCCCGCCCCGGCCAGCCACATGCTTGCTGGATTGGACCCGGGCCACGGCAGTGAAACCTCCAAATCCTAACAACTAGACCACCAGGGAACTCCCCAATTCAGAGTTTATCTAATGTCCATATAGAATTTTAACTTTTGCTTTGATTTTCCCGGCAGTGAAATGGCCAATGGGAAACGGACATAAGTTGAAATTTGCTTTTCAAAGCCAGTGGCCTCCTCGCTAGCCAGCACTCAGACAACTGGAATCTTGCAGCAGCCAGTGTTGCAGTGAGCTGGGGGTTTAAGGAGAGACAGTCACTGTTTCTATATCTGTAGGTCAACAGCCTATATCCACAGATCAAGGTCCAGAGTCTGACTTCCAACTAAAGTTTTAAGGGTGAAAGTGTTTGAAGCTGTTATAGTTGGAAATACGGAGTGTGTAAGTAGACTTAATTTACTTAGACTTAATCAATAACTTCTCAGCCTTCCCAGTTTTTTTCACTGTGATTTCATTGCATGGAAATTGTAGTACTCATTTAAGACAAAAGAGATATCAACTCAGCATAGACATATATTCATACAGAATAAATTTAAATTTACTGCAGTGTTTTTGCTTAAGGAACCAGAGGCACCCTCTTGTTCTCTCTCTCTCTCTATATCTATCTCACTATACAGATATGCCAGAGATATATAACCCTTTCTCCCTATATACACACATGGATGCATATATAGTCAAATACCCGTCTGCAGTTATAGTGAAAATAAGATGCAGTTTTCATTTCTTTGCAGATTGTATGCTTCCAGTTGCAATAACACTGTAAATTTGGCTGTTACTAAGAAAGAACTAAAACAATGCCTGAGACTGATCAATATTTTAATGTTGTCCAGATACCAAATGTTATCGGCCAACTCAGATATTTGGCATATGGATCTGACACCCAACTACATCTTTCATTTATTTATTTTTTTCCTGGTAAAAATGAGGTTTTTATTCATTCATGCAAAAATCCATTTTTGTTTTCCTTCCCTCCTCCCTCCCTCCCTCCCTTCCTTCCTTCCTTCCTTCTTGTCTGCTTTTTTCCTTGCTGTGTTCCTACCTTCTTTTATTTTAATGACTACAGGTCCTAGTAATTAACAGTACCAACTCATCGGTAAGGAATTAAATTGCTTTTTTTTTTATCATGGTGTCACTTAAAAGAACAACTTTTGCTTACTATTTGTGGGTGAGGGGAACAATACTATCTTTTTAATGAAGGAGAAGTCCATATAATGTACCACCAAACATCAATGCAATAAGGAGTAATATATAACTCCACTTATGTTAGTTGACATTTGGTTTTCAGTATCAACATATTCTTCAAACTGGGATATCTCTATTGCAGAAAAAAAAAGACAACAATAAATATGGAGAAGTCTGTTTCATACATTTGAAAAGAATATTATTTTCTTGATTTTCAACTTGTTTTCAGAAATAATTGTTTTAATATCATAATTCATTAGCTAGTATGCAGTGGATATCCACCACGAGGAAAATAGAACAAGACGATGATTACAAAGGTGCAAGGTGGGAATATTTTCTGTGCAGAACATCAAGCCTGTTCTCAAGTAGGAAAACCACTGCAAATGATCCACTGATGTAGTGAGATGTGGATCACCAACTGGTTGCATCACAAATCATCAGTGGTTGTTTCTAGACTTTGTGAAGGAGTCTTTGCCTATTTGGATTCTTTAGCCAATCGCAGGAATAGCTGCTTTAGTTCACTGTGTCAGTGGAAATGTCATAGGCAAATGGTTACACATTTACAATCATAAATACTAGGCACGGAGACCCTTCTCACGTCAGAGTAAATGTGGCAAGAAAAAACTCTGACCAGAATTACAGTTGATTCCAACTCTGGCTGACTTGCCATTCCCCTTCCCACCCCACCATCTCTTCCACACCTAAGCGAGAATTTCGTATTTACAATACTGCATGGTTTTTCCCAGTTCTTGAACTTGTCTTTTGGAGGGCTTACCTCCCATGTAAAGTAGTGGTGGTTTGGGTTTACCTCTTTTGGCCGCCATTCTCCCCAAACTAAGGCTAAAACATGGGCAGGTGGAACCATCCAGTCCCCTTATTCTGGAAAAGAATCTTTAATCAGTTGCAAAACAATATTAATAGAAAATGAAACCCCATTGTTACGGGATGCTATCTGTCATCACTTTGCCCTGTGTCTAGAAATAGTAACTTCTTGTCATCCCAGGAAGAGTGGGTGCAACTTGGATCTTCTGTTGTGTTGTTTTCCGGAAAGAATGGAAATGCCTCTGGCATGAACAGGAACACTGGAACACTGGAGAAACAGAGAGTGGGATGGTGTTTGTCGGGCAGAGGTAGATGAAGGTCACGACAAACTTTGTTGTGGTCATATACCTTAAAGTCATTAAGAGGTCAGTGGAAAAAGAGCTCATCTGATACGTTCTTCCCCATAAGTCATCACCCACCCCCCTCCAGTCATTGCTCCCTAACCGTTCTCATCCCACCCCCAACTCCACTGAAATCTGGAATCCCCCACTCATTAGGCTTTACCAAAACTCACTTCTATAAGTCTCGCAAAATTCAATGCGGTTAATGGGCGCCAGAGCCACTGTCCACCCACTGTCCCCAGAAATAGTACCATTATTTCCACAAATTACAAATGCTGTGCCTGTGTGTGTGCACGTGTGAATGTGTGTTTGCATTTGAATAAAAAACAAATTTCAAAAAAGGAACAAAAACTGGAGAATTTTGCATTTTTGGTGTTTTTTTTTTTTTTTTGTATTTGCGCAGACCATTTTAGGATTTTCAGTCTCAACAAAACACTACTAAAACAAAGAATCTAGTAAAATATTTGTGCATGTACTGCTAAACAATTCTAGCAATTTTACTAAGCAATACCTTTATTATTTTGAATATTCTTAACAGACTGGAACAAAACAGTTTTTTTATTTTTTTATTCAAAACAAAATATGCATAACTGTAACGCGTGTCGCCGAGTTAGGTATGATGCAGAGATTGAAGTTTTGTTTCAACAAAAACAAATGCCTGGGGGAATTTCATAGCTAGAAAGTTAAGAACTAAATTTTGTTCGCTAAGAGGACCTTTTCCATGGTTTTCCTTCATCTGCCAGCTATACAGCAATCATCCCTGAAATGCAGTTCCCGAGTGTAGTTAGAGAATAGTAAAGAATGTGAAGTGGTTCTTTTAAAATTATTTGTTTTGTTTGTTTGTTTTAAAAACAGCCCTTATTAACTCTTCCTTCCACTGATTCTACTGTAAACTCATAAAAGCCTTTTTTTTTTTTTTTTTTTTTTTTTTTTAGAAAGCAAATTCATAGACACTCAGCAGGTAAAATGTTCCCACAAAAAGAAAAAATACAAACAGAGCGATCCGATTTCTCCTCTTGTCTTCAACTATCTAGAGCATGTGAGAGTGGTAACGTTTCTGTACTTGAATGAAAATGGCTAACCTAGTGTTTGAAAAGTTCTTTTTGATAATGCAGAATTGCATACACTTTATACCTGGAGTAATTAAAAACTGTATGAGGGAGAAATATTGGGGTGAAATGGTCGAGATTCTGTATGCTGCAGGTGTCTGAGCACGTCTGCTAACCCTCCACAATGGTAAAGGAGGAAAAAGAAGTCCAGATTTGGGTCCTCAGAATCCTATTCCTGTAACAATGGCCAAAAGGTGCTCGTGTAGTCCTGCAACAGAACTGAAATCCCAGCGAAAGCCCAGCCACCTGCGGCTTCAGGGCAGGACTCCCTACCTCCTCACACCCCCATTCTGGGCGGCTGCTTCCAGCCACCCGACCAGTGAGGAAGGCCTGGGCCCTTGGAAGGGGGAGCTGGACCAACTGAGTTCACGGTAGTTTTCTTTGCTTTTGTTTTATTTTCAACGTAAAGATGTGCTAACTGTCTGACCCCACCTGTTATGGAGAGCACTTGTTTGTTCAGCTAGAAAGGGCCCCCCTGGTTCTGCTCCCTTGCAGGTTTGTGCAGCAGTGGCTCAGGGGCCCAGCGGAGCGTGCACTACGCCCACTCACGGCAGCTGCGACAAGGACAGAAGCAAGCGGATGTCGTCTGCTGTGGGCGGGGAAGGCCCGGGGTGGGCAGGCTGGGAGGGGTGTGGGTTCCAGAGGCAGGAGGGAGAGTCAGGGAGTTTTTTTATTTTTATTTTTTTGTTGTTTTCTTTTTTTTGTCTTTTTTATTTTTTTATGATTTTTTTTTGTGTGTGTGTTGTTGTTGTTTGCTATACCGCGAGGTCATAGCCGTCATTCCGCTAATAGAAACTGACAGGACATGAGACAGAACTATCTGAGGAGCACACACAATGACTAGAAATATATATAGAGAGAGCGACAGTGAAAGGACTTAGTTTACCTCTGAGAAACCATCCCCCCAAATAAATCCTGTATTAACAAGTGCAAAAACAAAACAAACAGATAAACCCAAATCAAAAGGAAAGCAAAGAAAACCTCCAAACATTAAAACACAGTGTATAAAATGGTGTGAGAAACTGAAGTCACTTTCCAGCCTTTTAGTCCATAAAAAGCTGTGTGTGTGTGTCCTTGTTTGGATTCAGGCCCCTCTTTTCCAGTTTTGCCCTCCAGGCCCTGCACAAAGTGATGTGCGGTCGGAGCACCCAGGCCGTGACGCCGGTGGCCAGGGCGGCAGGCACGCTCCAGGGTCCAGCATCCCTACTCCTTGCTGGCCGAGCGCTCGTCAAGTGCGTGGACGCCCCCGACGCCCAGCGCCGTGGCGTTCTGCGCCACCGAGGCCGTGAGAACTGTGTGAAGGAGCATCAGCATGAGGACACACAGTCTGAGTCTGCCGGGGCCCAGCCTGGGCGCTGCTGAAGCTGGCAGCGACGTCCTGGGACAGGAGCCGCCTCTGTCCACCGTCCCCTTGGAGGGGGTGTTGGATTTTGCCTCTCTCCTGACGTCACAGCATTCTGGTTCATCATTGGTTAGAAAGGTTTCGTAGAGCCCTGGGGGGTGAAGAAAGGGCAAGGTTAACAGGCGAGAGGAGGATGGGTAGAAAGGCGCTCAGAGCCGACGGCAGCGTGTACTTTAACATCTGATCCACAACATCTTACGGCAATGGAACATTTTGTAAAGGAGAGTCAAGTCCGTACAGTCTGGGTCAATGGTCAACCGTGCTCTCAAGCCAGCACTTTTAGGTTCCTCACTGCTCTTACTGTACTCTTGGTGGTCATCCATGAAAGTTCTGGGTTGTGAGGACTACAGGATGAAAGGTTTCACTAGGTCAGAACCAGAACCTAAGGTTCTGGATCAACTTGGTGACCAGGAACATTCAACCACCATTTGCTCTTTAACAGGAATGTGATTAGTTAATGCAATGCGTAAAGTGACCCCCACTAGTTATGAGTTAGCATACTTAGCATATTTTATTTATGAAACCACCAACCAATCATAATACCAGAGCTACAGGAACCATGTTACTAATCACTTCCTCTCAGGAACCTCACCAAGGCTCACATCTCCCTTTATGGCTGAATGGGTTTAACATCTACACACCCAAAGCATGACCATTTCCATTTGTAAATACTTCTCTTATTCTTCCATTGATGACTGCCTACGTTGAAGCCTGTATTGCCTTTTGCCTGGACCACTGGGGGAGGAGTCTCTGCCTCATCCTTCTCCCTTTCCCATCCTCCAGCATCGCTTTTTAGTGATTGTGGGTCTAGCTCACTCTCTCGCTCTCTCTTATTCTCTCTTCCTTTTTTCCCTTCCCTCACCACAGAATCTCTCCTCTTTCTCCCTTCTCTTTTCCCTTCTTCCTCTAAAAACACACATTGTTCTTATTTTTAAATTGATAAGTGGAGACTTTCGAAGTGATGAAAAAGAATAAAACAACTGGCTATCTAAACCTTCCAATCTCGTTTCTTGCTAGATTATAAAATTTTTACGTGGTCGCTTAAGCCATTTTGTATCCTTTTTTTTTTTTTTTTAACTTGACTGAAACATTTTTTCATGAGATTTAGCATGAATTTTCTACACAAATTTTATTCTGTTACTCTCATGCTTGAAAAACTTGAAAATGACGATAGAGTAATTGTTAGGATTAAATACGATGTCGTATGTAAAGTGCTTGGCTCAGTGCCTGGCACAGAGAACTAACTTGAAAAATTTGACTACTGTGAATTATAATCACTATTAATAGCACCTCATTGACTCGACCTTACTCATGAAATCTAGTCTCCTTTCCTCTCTCTCCAGGCTCACTGCTCAGTGCTCCAGACATCCTCAACTCTTGGCTGATCTCAGAACACGTGACACTTCCACCCACATATGGACCACGGCTCAAGCTTTCTTTCTGGAATTTTCTCCATCAATTCATAGAACTAACTCTCATTTCTCCTTCAGGTTCAGCTCACATAGAATTCCCTTTGTGAAGCCTGTATTCATAGTCCTGGGCTCCTAGTGCATTTTGTGTAACTCTTCAATAGAGCAATTATTATTTTTTCTTTTAATCACAATTGCTCATTTTCATGTCAATTTCCTTACTTATGTGTCACCATAAGAGCAAGAACTATATAGTATCAGCCTCGTGTTCCCAATATGTTGCAGAATGCCTGAATAAAATAGGTACTTAACGAGATTTGTTACATGAATAAGCTCAATATATATTTATTCAATAAAGAGACTATTAAATAATATACACTCTGCAATCTTCAGTTTCTTTAAAAAAATGACCAAGATATCCTTATAATGATGCTTACAATATTCATTTCTTCTTAGGCATTCAAAGGTAAACTTCACCTTCGCCTAGGTAGAATATGGAAAAAAAACTGAATTAATGAGGTCTGCAGCTCCGACATTTTTATTTTATGTATTTTATTCTTTTTTCAAATAAGATACCTCACGGGTAGACTAATCATTTATTGAAGTATACGTCTTCCAAAATTATACTCTACAAAGAAGAGAGTTTATAGTTAAGATTATAACAATAGAAATCTAAAGGTCATTTAGGTCAACATTTTAGAATGGTAACAGTCGGAATATCTTTAACAATGTCGTCCAGATAAGAAGCTCTTCCAAAGTTGCTCAGAAGCGAGGCGACTGATTTAGACCTAAAGTCATCTCAGAAAAAATAAGGCAATTTGTCAGGTCAATCAATGTACTCTTCTTTTGGACTAAAAAAAGTAACACTCTTTCTTTTTACATTGTCCATCTTTTTAATAAGAATCTTTATTCAGAGTTACACATGCATATTAGTAATCAAATCATGCTACAAGATATTTTATAAGAAAAAATTCCTCCGCCTCCTCCATCCCAAATTCTTCCTTCTCAGAAGCAAATACTGCACTTTTAAATTTGTTTCTGTATTGGCTCCATTTCTGGAAATGACCTGTTTTATACTTTTCGTGATTTTTTATCACTATCACTAGTAGATTCCTCCCCCCTCCCAACCCTGCCCCAGGACATGTGAGGATAAAACATTCATTCTGCACCTTCTCCAGCCCATAGGTGACCCCCTTCCTCTATGGTAGTACGTTTAATACTTGGTGTTCCTTTATTGGAATGCTGTAAAAACAATTCTCAACTCAGACGTGCAGTAAACTTTCATTTTCCATTCCGATTCCACTTTGTTTTTCCTAGAACTAATACTTACTAATTCTTAGAGTTTTCTACATAGTTACTAGTTCAGCACCCAGTACTTTGCCAGCTCTTTCCTATCAGTTGTGTTTTCCTGAAGAACTGTCTCCTGTAGTCTTTTACCATCTGGACTGGTGGCTTTTATGCCTAATGCATAGATTCCAGCCTGAAAACTCCAATGAACCTTCCTCTTGGGGACGCTGGCTGCCTCTTTCCCGTGGATTTCCTAGCTCCTGTTCCTTACACCCCTTTACTCATTTTAGTGGACTGGGTATCTAGTATTTTCATAAGGACAAACTCTTGGGAGTAAATTTCTGAGAAGCTGTATGCCTAAAAATGTTTACCTCACGTTTAATTGATTGTTTGGCTGAGTATGGAATTCTGGCTTAGAAATTCTTATCCTTCAGCTTTATTTGAGCGATACTCCCATATTTAGTTGTTGAACCTCTGGGACCTGTCCTTTAATATTCTTATCATCTTCCTTGTTCATCACTTCATCCCTTGCTCTGCTTTCTGGAGGATTTGGTGAGCTTTACCATGAGATAATTTTACTGAATTTTTCTTTTTTTTTTTAAAAAAATCACATTTTAATTTCCAAGAGCTCTTTTATATACTCTGAATTTCTTTTTTGAAGTGACTGTTCTCATTTCACAGTTGCAATATATTCTTTTATCACTCTGAGATTTTTACAGCACTTTTATTTGTCGTGTTTTATTTCCTCCCTGCATGCATTCTGTTTTCTCCAGATCGCTTTTTTCTTCTTTGTTTGTCTCTTACTTTTTACGTGGGAAGCCCTCCTCACGTCTGTCACCCGGTCCAACAACTTTCTCCAACCATCTCCAAAAAACAGTTCCCCTCCCACAAAGAAATATGCCAGCACTTTTCTCTGGAGAGGGAGGCATGGGTTATGGAGATCTGACTGCTTCATAGACAGACTTCCACCTGCTCTCCCTTATGTCGTCACCTCCTCCAAAGCATTTCATGCTGTCAATTCCTGTGTCTGGAGGGAGTCTTGGATGGAAATCTGGTTGACTCTTTGCTTCTTCTCTGCTGCTTTAGCATTCACTTTTCTAGGTGTCAGCAAATCCTTTCACATGCACCAATTTTCTTTCTAGTTTCTAAGAGGGTTTGGTTGTTGTCTCCTTATCCATTCTTCTGTCCTTTTGGATTTATGCCTAATAACGATTTCTCTTCTCTTGGGTCTGCCTAGGAAACTTTACTGCACTTTTCTCTACATCGGTCTGCTTTGTCCTGATCTCTGACTCACTCCTCCAGCCAGGAATGCTGCCTGTGGCTGGATTCTGCCTCAGTGTCTCCCCAGAAACTGAAGACACAGGGCATCTGCGAGGGGCCAAGCCAGCCATCGGACTTTTTTTCCCTCTGCTGAATCCTTGTTCCCTAACTCCCTCACGGGTACAGTTCTGAGTTCTCTCTAGTAAACCGTCTGGATACAGATGCTTCCTGGGAGAGCCTACCTATAGCAGCCAACACTTCCTCATCCTTCAAAGAAACTGTAAGGACATATTACCAAATGAAAAAAGTTCTCAGACAATCTCATTGCACAAATATATAAGAGATTTGGGATTAGGAAAGGAAAAGAGTAATTTTTTCAGTTAATGAAATGTTGTTCTTCTACGGTTTGCTACAAAATGTTCTATCTGCAATCTCTAATGAATCATTACCTATTTGACATTGAAAATAATAGTAGTAGCAATTATTCTATCTTATAGCACCAACCTCATGAATTATTTCTGAGTATTAAATAATACACATAAACTGTCTAGAACAGTGCCTGGCAGGTAGTAAAATGTCACGTAATATTAATTATTCCTCTTAGAAGTTGGGATAAATAGTAGAGTCAGAATTTATTATTAGGAAGGGCTTTAAGGAACATCTAATTCAAATTCTTTTCCTGTTTTCAATTAGTCTAAGCCACTCACAGAAAAGCCTTATTTTTTACAGCTCAAAACAATTATTCTAGTATAGTCAGTATAAATAACATCTAAGTACAGGAAAGACATTCTAAGGAAATCCTTAAAATAAACACATTATTTAAATATAACCCTTCGTTATCTCAGTAATTTACATTTTGCCATCTTTAAATCCAGGAATATGAGACTAATTTTTCAAATATTTGAACTAGTAATATGCTTTATAATATCTTTCCAAATGCAAAAGTTTAGAAAACAGTAAAGTAAAAAGAAGGGGGAAAATTACCCCAAACCTGATTTCATTAGGATGAAAAAAGAAACAAGAAGAAACTGTTGGAATTTGTTTCCTCAACTTTTTATTAACATGGACACACATATACAGTCAGACCTCATTTTACTGCACTTCACTTTATTGAGCTTCACAGATATTGTGTTTT